CTGAAAATTCTTCTAACAAGGCTTTAAATTTCTTTCCTTGCTCTCTAGTTAGTGGTCCGATATTTACTGTATCTGTCTTTTCTAATATATATTCCTTATATGGTATTAAAGTGTCTATAGTATATACAAAATTATATTTAGTAGCATTTTTGTGCAGAGCTAGCTGCAGGGCTTGTTCTTCTGTTGGTAAAGCTTCTGGTTTCTCAGGTAGTTTTTCATCATGCCTAGAATAGTTTAAAAATTTTGGCGAGCAAATAATTGAGAGTAGTATTCAGCTTGTTTCTGGTGGTATAATATTTTGTCTTTAAAGAAGTTAGTCATCTATTCATTCATTTCTTCTAAATATTGGACACGAGCTTCTAAGTGTTCAATAATTTGTTGTTGAGATTCTGGATCTAATTCTTTTTTTGATTCTTCGATGTAGGTTCTGGCTCTTTCTCAACTATTATTAATGAGTTGAACATAGATGATTTTGGGTTTGCTTCTTCAGGAATTGTAAATTTATTAAGTTCCTGATAACACTCATTACAAAATCCTTGGTTTGGGTCTAACTCTTCAGTCTGCTTAGCAAAAAGGCACTCTAAGCAAAAAGCAACTTTTTCTTCAAAGTTTTTACGTAAATTTTCTATTGCTTTACGAGAGTTAAAGTCTGGTAGAGAGGTGTTGAATGATTCTTGTAAAATTCTTTGCAGGGTAGTTTCTTCATTTTCAGTTAGATTTACTTCCTTAAAGTCTGATCTAAGGAGGATAGTAATTTCATCAGAGGTCTATGTATAGTTATATTGATTATCTTCTTGTTCCTCTAATGCTTCTGTAATTGGAACATAGTCTTCCTCTTTCAATAAAACTTGAACAAGTCTGTGGATTCTGGTTTGGTTAAGGTTGTATTGGTGTCCAGCATTACAGGTAGATTCAGTATAATGTCTGATTCTCGTCCAAATCTTATAGTTCTGATTATAAAGTAAATCCTGAGTTACTTTATAGACGTACATGTGCTCTAGTTTACAAAACCAAAGCTCTTCTCGAATGCTTTCTAATCTGTACATTCTCATTCTAGGTCGTTGGTGATTGCAAACTTTATATTTAACAATAGTTCTTCTTCCTAATCCTGTCTGATAGTATTCTTGGCTTCGTGGGTCGTCAAAATCTAATCTCTCATAAAAACCTTTGTAGCAAGTGGTGCAGATAAGTTGGTCATTTAAGAGGTATATAGTTTCTGATCATTGTGGGGTTAAGTATTGGCAGCAGTGGTGGGTTCTATGTTTGCTAAGGTAAATCGATCTTTTGGCTTCAACTTGGGTTTTGTCACAACCACAGCGGTAGATCTGGTTGTCTAGTTTCTGTTAGGCTAATGGACAATTTATTTTGATATGTCCAGTTTGTTTACAACCAAAACACAAGTTCAGAGAGCAGTCCTTGAATAGGTGGTCAGTCTGGTCACAGTTTTTACAATTGGCTCTTTTACTTTGTCTGCTAGGACAGTTAATAAGAATATAGCCCTTCTCATAGCAGTAGTGGCATTCATTTTGCAGACAGTTTTTGTATTGGTGATCTCTAAGACCACAAGTTTTATACATAGGTTGATTTCTATGGCGAGGTGTATAGACAGTTCATCTTTCTTCTCCTTCATTTGTTGCTGTGAAAGCATAAGCTTTATAAGGCGTGAGGTATTCCTGCTCATATAATTCAAAGTCTTCCAAAGTAATACAAGTAGGTTGTTTTTCTTTGGGCTGCTTTTGTTCATAGGAAGTATCAAGAGTTAACTTCTTTCCTTTCTAATACATAGTATATTGGCAATTTTTCCAATTGTAATTGGCATCAACCTTCTGAGACCAATCATTTCCTAGAAGTAGAGAATATGAAGTAGCAGGTACTACTTCTATGTTGATAGGGATGGTTCTACCTTGGATCTTTACAGGTAAGTTTCTAATAATACCTAGGGGTCTGGATGTAGTTCCGGTAGTAGCTACAATCAAGCTTTTGGAAGGTTCGTTTATTTCTAGTCCTAATTCTTTTACAACTTTATAGGCAATCATGCTAACAGAGGCTCCACTATCTATAATAGCAGGGTAGGTTTGGTCCTTTAAATCTACAAAGCACTTAACAGGGATAATATTGTTGTTATCTTCTGGAGTTGGTTTGGTGTTTTCTTGGTTCATATCGGTAATATATGCAGTAAGAGCAGTGCGAATAAAGTAGTTGTCCAACAGATATTCTCAATTATTTGATGATTTAGAGTCAGGTTTAGAGCTTGATTTTTCAGCTAGGTTGACATTTCGATAATAGGGTGAGGGTGAGCGGTTAGATCTGGGTTTCTATCTTTTTTGACTTCTATCCCTAGATCTACTTCTATTACGAGAATAGTTTCTATCTCTGCTTCTGTTTCTATTTCTATCACATGATTGATTTTTGCTTCTGTCTTGTTTATAGTTGTTGGATCTATCATTATAGTTGTTTTTTCAGTTGTTATTGTTGTAGTTATTGTTGTAGTTGCTGTTGCTGTAATTGTTATTACTTCTGCCTCTTCTATTATTTCTATTTCCTTCTGATTTTCTTTTAAAACAATCAGCAAAGAAATGTCCTTTTTTTCCACAAAAATAATAAATAGCATCATCTTTAGATGAGCTTTGTCTGGTTTCTGCAGCATAGGCTGGCTTGGTTTGTTGGGCTAGGTTAATACTTAGTTGAGCAATTTGGTCGGTAAGTTGAGCAATTGCTTCGTTGGTTCCTGTTTCTGGAGTAGCAATATGTTTTCCTGTTTCCCAATTTCTAGCAGCGTTCATGATATTAACAAGGTTATCAAGTCCAGCAGCTTGGACAGGCATGGCAAATTCTGGTTGTAGTTCTTGGATAAAATGTTGGTAGATAAATTGATCAAGTAGGCCTTCAACTTTATGGTTTAAGTTTTTAAACTTCGAGATATAAGCATCAACAGTATTATTCCCTTGTTTGAGGTCAAAAAGTTGTTGTTGCTATCTTGCTTTTTGGAGAATTGTAAAGAATTTTTCTTTAAAAAGAGGTTTAAAACTAGTTGGTTGTTGATACTGATTATCATAATGTGCTATTTGGGTATTTCGATATCCTCGAACCCATTCACCAGCAATTCCGGTCATATAGATTTTAGCTAAATCACGTTTTCGAGCTTCACTCCATCTATTAGCTTTTGCAGCTCGTTCAAATTCTTCTAACTAGTCAAGAGGGTCTTGGGTGCTATCACCTGAAAAAGGTTCTACTTTGATTAGATTCTTTTCGCCTGCTCCTTCTCTTTCCATTGTCTTGATGAGACGAGTCATAGCTTGGGCAGCTTTGTTCATTGCTTTCTCGTTAATAGGTTCTTCGTTAATATCAGATTCTTGGTCAGGTTCCTCTTCAAATTCAGGGTTTTCTTCCTCATATACAATATTTTCTTCTTGGTCAGGGCTTCTTCTTCAAGTATTAAATTTTCTCTTTGTTCAGGGTTTTCTTCTTGATCAGAGTTTTCTTTCTGATCGTGAACAGTAGCAGTTTCTGAGGCTTCGTTCTCTGATTCATGGTCAGGTGCTGGGAATTGTTGAAGTTGATTTAAAAGATTTTTAGCATCTTGATCAAAATTTCTAGCTTGTTGATTTAATACATATTTAGTTGGGGATTCGAGAGGTGTATGAGACATACTAGCAAAGGAAATTTCTTGAATGCGATCTGGGTGAATTCTATGAATATAAGGTGGTCGATATTGGTATTGTCTTTGGTTAGTAGTGTGAATAGTTAATGCAGGATTCCTTCTGTATGGAGATTGATAAGGCTGAAAAGGTGAATTATGTATATTCTATTATCACCACTATAAAGTTTTAAAGTTTCTGCAATTTGTCGAGTAGGATTTATCACAGAGGGTCTAGCAATAGTAATATTAGGATTGGTATAATTAGTAATAGTAATTTCTCGTTGTGGAGTATGATGTATAGCTTGGCCTAAAATTGAAGAGAAATTTTGATGTACAATAGGTCCTGTAATTATCCTTCTGTAATTAGGATTATCAATATAATTATCATAGTGATTTCTATTAGCGAAGGGAGTTTCAGGTATATTACTGAAATGTGTGTATTTTCAGAATAATGCAAGAACAATATCTCTGACGTTGCCAATATCTTGAGTATAACGAAGCAGCAGAGAGAGCGAGCAGACTTTTTTATATTTTATGGAATTTTTAGATAAGTTAAGTATGTAAGTTAAAAGCTCTGAAATCGTCAAAATCCATATTATCTTTTTATATAAAATACCCAGGAACATGTTTTAGAGGCTAGATTTTTTTTGATTAAAAATGACCCTTCCGGAGTTCTAAGAACAATAATTTAGTTTTCTGGTTAAATCAGCACTTGAGAGCTCCAAGAACAATAAATTAGTATTCTGGTTAAATCAGCAATTGAAAGCTTCAAGAATAATAATTTAGTATTCTGGTTAATCGATACTTAAAAAGACCAAGAACTATGATTTGTTTTCTTGCCTAGCTGGAGTCTCCGAAAACTTAATTTCAATGACGAGCATTTTGCTTTTTACGATACATTTTCGTTATATAAAAATATATTGTATAGCTATTTGATATTTTTTTGCTTTGAAATATATCTAGATAATATTTTAGCTTTCTTGTTTAGTAAGTCTCCGAAATCCATTATTGCTAACTGTATAGCACCCGAAATGTGAAGTAAAGTGGAGCATCTAGTTACTATATTGCTTTCTTGTATAGTTTGAGTCTTCAAAATCCATTCCAATCATGAATAAATAAAGTGCAGTGAGTTATCAGGGAGCATTTTTAAGTCGAGCAATATATTGGGAAACATAAAACCCACCAACATGAGCCTGGCAATGGCCAGAAGCAGAGGCAGTAGGCTTTGCACAGAAAGTGCAAGGAACGCGTTTTTTGGCTCTCTGATGGCCTTCTTATATACTTAAGTTAGACTATATAGGATAAAATTTAAATTTAAAAAAAAAGAATATTTAAAGTAATATATATAAATCAGTTAACTATGTATAGATATGGACCTTGTCCAAGATGTGGCAATACATTCGCAACAAACCAAAAATTCAAGTATCATTTAACTGAAAGAAAGCACCCTTGTGCATCTCGAAATATATTACAAGCAACTGTGCCAGTTTCTAGCTCTGAACCCTTGTTTAATTTTGATTCGCAATTTCAAGTGGTAAAAGATCCCAATGCTAGAAAATCGGGCGAGTCTGTTAAACAATGGAAATCGAGATTACGAAAAAAAGTCAAAAAATTAGGTGACAAGGATCGTAGTTAGCTAAAAAATTTGGCCGAAACCAAAGCTCTTTATGATGAATTATTGCAACTAGATCCAAATGCATATTTCCGACCTGCAACAGAAGAAGAAAAGCATGAAGAGCAAGGATTTTTCAATGAATCTGAAATCAAGGAAACAAATCTTCAGCGTGAAACATCTCCAATAGTACAGCCAAAAATTAATGAGTCAGAGACTTGAGGCTATGCCTCTCCTGAAGCTGGTCCAGACCCTTGTACCCAAGCTCATCATAAAGGTAGACTTACTAAATTAGAAGAAATAGTAACTCAACAAACCACACCATTAGATAATATAGAATTGCAACCTGTTCAAGAATTGCCTATTCACG